GAAAGCAGTTCCAGACTTTTGTTAGAAATGCCGCCAATGATGTTTCAAATCTATCAAATTTAACACAAAGAGGAAGAATACTCGGGCTTAGATTTTATCAATTTCTTTTTCCCGTGGTTTTCACACCTACTTATGTATTTCTATCTTACAATCGTTTGCGATTACCTCCAATGTTTTATAATATTTTAAGATTATTAGCCAGTGGCGGATTAAAATTTTAGAGGCTGATGTCAAAATTATCCCACTCGGCGGAGAGGATAAATCAGTTGATAATAAATGGAAGAAGATGAACAAGCGTCTTAGACTTAGACTTGTTTCTCCTCTTCCTCTTATTATCGTAGCCTTCTCCTACTAATTATAAAAGCTCATAAAACGTTTGAGGCAATTGCAAATATTTTTAAGATAGAAATTATTAAAAGGTGATAAGATTTACGGAAAACAAAATTTGACATTTTAAACCCGTGTATTCTCCTCTCTGTTTTCTTCCCCTTCCTTGCAATTAACACATTTTCCAAAAAACTGTGCAACGTCTTATTGTCAGGGACCTATCTTACAACCAGTTGCCCAACTTGACTCGAGGTGTTCTCAGCACAAATATCAAGCTGAAAGAATTGTGAGTAGCGCTATTTCTACTGAGAACCAGTTACAACTCCTGCTAATCATAATCCACTATATATTACCTTAACTTTCAATCATATCAGCCATTTTTGCCTCCACCTGAGATACTCTCAGAAGACTCTCCAGATGGTGTTTTGTTATTTATAAAATTAAAAAAAAAATCTAATTATTTCCTCGCAAACAGCCGGGGATTTCACTAGTTTTACTGAATTTCACAGTTTTACCGAATGGAATCAATTTAGCCATTACGTTCTATTTCTCCATGTTGTTGATTCCTTACCTCTGTTCAAGTTTTTTAGACACTATCTCATATGCTAAATACATATAAGTAAAAAATCTCTTAGGGGAAAAATAAACCTCTAACCCTCACTCAGCACCTACTGGAAGGGTCAAGAAGAGCAAGTACTGAAATTTGTAAGACAGTTAGCTTAGCCTTTCTTCCAATTCTATTACTATCTGAAGGGACTTGTCAAACAACAGGATTAAGCGCTTGCCCCTGGATATCTTTGGCAACCTCACTCAGTTGAAAAGGCTGTAAGTGGCATCCAATTCGTATTACGGTACTCATGCACAGTAAATTGAGTTTTTCACCAAGCGTTAAGTCAAGATGGCTGGATATTTTGCGTCTTTAGGGAACTAGACGAAGTGATTATGATCTGTAAAAATACGAATAAAATTTAACTAACTCTCACAGCGTTTTCTTTCACGTAACTAGGGGTTATGTAGGTGCGTTAATAACAGTAGGAGGTAATGCTTTTATGGGAGAGTTCAAAACAAACAAAATTCATTTGTCATATGGCTGACTTCCAAAAGCAGTGAGACTCTCATAAAAAATTTTTTACTATAAGTAGAACGAACTGCTTTTCATAATAGACTGAAGGACAACAAACGAAACCTGAATTACTGTTATCCCAAGGGAAAATTGCATAGTTTAAAGCCTTTTTGAAGTTGCCGGCTATGTCTTCACTTTGCAGCGTATGGAAACCTCAGATATCACGAATGTATTAATCGATGCAATCAAATGGAATTTAAATACCACCATACCCTTAAAAATACTCTACCTACTCTACATCTCCATGTATATGCTCGGGAAGCTTGCAAAAACCACAGAATAATTGCGAATAAAATTTTCTGTCTTCTCCGAAATGGTCACGGACACTAGTAGACATGAAAAGAATTATCATCTTAGTCTAGGTTATCCTTCCGACCATGTTAATTATCACTGTGCAACAATGAACGTACATCAAACAGGCTGCTATTCGAAACAATACCATGGGTTTAGGGTAATATAAGCCGAGTACGCGTGCAAGACCCATTCTATTCAGTGCATGGACACCAAGGTGAATGAAGGTCCTATGAAAGACAGGAAGAAATTTTAAAAGTGCAAGAACTTTATGGGAAGCCCAACTTCAGGTTCCTTCAAGATTCAAACAAAGGGTATGCCGTGACATACTTCACAAGATGAAGTCTATATTAATTTAGAAAAAAGCCTCTCAGCCCTTAGAGTAATCATGAGGTCAGGCAAACCAATCAGAGTTAACTGATGCAGTTTAACAAAGTCTTTAGCCACCTGAAGGACCTCTTTAGAACCTGCGTAGAATTGGTTATAAAGATTTTTTTATCGTAGTATAATACACTACACGAGACGTTCATGTAATGGAAATTTAACTTTAAACAAAACGAGACAAATTGAGTTGAAGTAAACAGTTTTCGAAGGATGATACAACACTCGTATAACGTGTACACTTTTTATTGGTTTATCCTTATTCAGGAGCTTTCATCTTAACAAAATCACTGAAGTAACTAATGAACAATTCAAAGATGTCGCGCCAAACATTCGATTCTTGTGAGTATGAACCAGCTGAGTTTGTTCAGAGCGTATACGAACTTAC